TTTTGAGATGAAAAATGGACAAAACATTTTTAAAGCTTGAAGTGAAAAGACCATTCACAAGAACTGGTTGTAGATGGGAGGATAATACTATGAATGATCTTAACAGAAGTCTGAGAGAGTGTAGATTGGATTCATATGGCTCGGGATAATGACCAGTGGTGAGCTGTAGTGAACATGGTAACTAATGTTCGCGTTTCGTAAAACGAAGGGAATTTCTTGGCTAAGGGCTCTATTAGCTTTGAATAATGACTTTGTTTCATTAAGTTCTTTGTTAGTCTACGCAATTTAACGAAAATCCCAGGCTATACGTACCCAAGTTTTCTTTTAGTAATAAACTTCGGAATGTAGTGTTATGTCCCATGTTACATTTTTAGTCTATCTGAATTGTGCCACGCAAAATTTACCAATATATTTCATAGATAAGGCCCTTTATTTATCACCTACAAATCTTATATCGACACAATTCTGAACTGCATCTATTAGTTCAGTAACCGTGGATTTATATATTTATAAATTAATGCATTTTATTTCTTTCCATAGCTCATATCCCCTACGCCATTCAACGTGACGTATAACCTTCTTAATTATGAACATTTAAGATTTTGATAAGCTTATAGTTTCAGATGTTTTAGTCTATAATCCACGTTACGATAGTTGGTGAAACAGACTGTTGTGGAACCTAAAAATTGTATTTTGACTTGTAATCATTTTAGTGATATTGTACAAACATTCGAACACAAAAGCTTCTATACTTGACAGGCTGACACAGCAAATTTCGGACTACAGATGTTTATCTTGAGACTTCTGCTGTCTTTCTCAGATTAGGCATAATACCATCAACTGCATTATTGATGCTCCTTTCTAAAACATTTTATATTATTTATTCACGTTCAGTATTGCTTTAAGTACTAGTGTTGTTACGTAGATTAGGTTTTTGAATATTTTCAAGTCGTCTGGCTCTATTCGCCCGTTCTTATCAGCTCTCGGGCCACTAGATTGTAACGACGAGACTTTATTGAAATGCCATGGGAGGTTACTGGAAGTGGTGCGAACATAGATGTCCACAATTTTCTGTAATGAATAACTTGTAAATGTGTGTAATTTTCTACTAAGGGTCGTCTATAAAAGATAATTACTTTTTGGAATTAAGCGACTGCATTTTGCCATAATTTCTTTAGCACTCAAGTGTACTCTATAACAAACACTATGGATTCTGGGACGAAATTAGTGCTTCAGTACTCAAGTGTACGTCTATAACAAACATTATGGATTCTGGGACGAAATTAGTGCTTTTAAATTGGCGTCTATCACTCACTTTATCCAAATTTGGAATTCTAAATATGTAATTCATTATTTGCTAGTATCTGAGGTATGAATCTGTTAATCATGTTTTCTTCTTACACAACATACAAATATAATATTTAATTTACGACAAAGGATTTTTTCAAGACAATTAACACTTCCTCGTAATATCAGGCAGAGACTATGTTCATCAGTCTCTCTTAATTCGATCGAAATAGGCGCTGATAGAAATTGTTTTGTCAAACATTCAGAAGCCTGTGTAACTGGGGACCTTTCGCCGCAGTTTATACACAATAGGCCTAATAGTTGTTGACAGTAATTAAATAGAAGCCCACAAGTGCCTTGTCCCCTTTACCTGAGCATTTGCTTAAGGTCTGTTTCAGAACCATGTTATGTTGATGAAGTTGTATTTGTGTTACGTGGCTGTCCAACTCTCACTTGAAACCCTAATTCACTTGTCTATTATCTTTGAATAAATTACCTGCTTAACATGTGTTTAAGCTTCTTTGTGGACAACCCTGTGTTAAACAAACATTCGCAGCCTAACTGCTGTGTAAACAAGACCTGATTGATCTTACAAGCACAGTGTTTTGAAGAACTGCCATTATTATAGCTGGATGCTGACAGCTACATTTCAAATTGCCTGGTAGTCAAGGACGACCATATTTAATCCGTAAATATCAAAAGCAAGGATTCTGAAAACGCGTCTCGCCGCGGCAATCGAAGTCCTTCATGACTGAACAGTCCCGCAACTGTCAATACATCTCCGTCTTTTCTGAAACCCGAATGTTAATTGCTTCATGGAAAACATCCCGCTGTTTGATCCTATTTTTAGAAAGATTATATCGTCAAAAGAATCCGTATAATTTCGAGATCTGTGTGACATTTCGAAAAACTCTTTTTATTTACATTGAGGGGCCGTCTGCTTCCCACAGAGTCCACAAGATGTGGGACCACTTTTGTCGAATGCCTGCCACTGTTTTTTTTCAATATATTCGCAGTTTTTGTTCATATTTAAAGACATTCTCCTCCGAACGACGCTCATGAAAGTGGTGACAAGGGACTTACTCAGCACGTAATTATTTCATTGCCGGCTTGTCTACAATCATTCAGCAGCAGAGCGTCTAATATTAAAATACCAACCGGAATATAATCCAGAATGCACAGTAACATCGCGTCTCTGTTCTCATGCATTGCTGAAACTTGTTCTGCATAACTGTCAGTATGTCAACAAAATTCTACGCTGTTACGCAGTCTTACAGTGCATCTTCTAAGTATTTGTTGGGCTATTGGCGATAGAATTATCATCTTGTTGGTTTCGAAGAGTTACTGTTTTTACAAATCTTGTACTTAGCGCAGAAAAAATATTACATACTACAGACATTGGCTACTACCATGCTGTCATGAAGGCACAGTTCTGAATTGGTGTTGACTTCTTCCAAAACATTATTTTGTTTTGTTTTGGCAAACTAGTAAAACTTCCTTAATTCTTCAAGTATTATTATTTTATCTACATGTTTATTTCTTGATTTTTATATACAGTTTAGGACTCGATTTAATTCAAAAGTAAGTCAGAAAAATTCTTGTCAATAAAGTATGGAGTAAAACATGGAAAAAGACGAAACTTTATTTTATCGATATATTAAATTCTTTACGTTGGGTAATTATAGCACAATAAACTAATAATTTTTCTTCTTCGCTAAATTTTCCCATTCCTATAATATAAGTTATACTGTTTGCATATACTCACGTATATTTTATGTAATCTTGTTGTAACAATTCACTTATTAAAAATGAATATTTGAATTCGTTCTTGTATCTTCCTCTGAACGCTTCCTAACCCACACACTTGTGCAGACATTTATCTACGATTGGAAAAAAAACCAGTCTGTGTTCATTGCACGCAGTGAATATGTGTACATGAGACGTGTTAATTATTTGACAGATCTCAACTGTTACCATACTCCATATCTGTAATTTTACACCTCTGTAAACACAAGTGATCAAATGGGTCAAGATGAGGGAAATAGATCTGCGAGTTGTTTATTTACAGGCAAGTTATGTACTCCGGTACCTGATTAAGGCATTGTTATATCAGTAATATCAACACGTACTGCTTATTAGGTAACTAGAACCCCGTTGCACCCACAAGTGTTAAATATGGATAGCAGCTGTTCATACTACCAACACTTTCCTCCTTATATGTCAACATATTGCGTTTATTTTTTTATCTCTCCCTCATTTGCAAAATGACTTAACGAGAAGTAAATTACAACGCAAATTCTGACCTAACTGTGGGTACATATCATAATCAAATGATAGCCTACATCATTATAATATCCAACTGTATTGTCGTTATTTGTAACATGTATTAAATTCATGGGTTCATATAAAAAAAAAGAGATGAGAAGTTTGAAAAGAATAAAAGGAAAAGCTGAATGTGAAAATAATGGGTGATACAAGTCGTAAGGAACAGCAGCGCCGACACATAAGCGTAATTACGAGAGACAGAGTCATTATAACAGTTCTTGTATTGCTGTAATGACGCAATAATTTATGGTGGAACTTTCGCCTAGAGGTAATTTATAGGTTAAATGAACAGGACGCAGGGCCCACTGCTGTTGAACATGATTTAAGCCACATGACTTAGTATAAAGAGCTTTAGGCAGGTGTCAGTATAAATTTTAGGTCTCTTAGAGCTACTTCCATTAGTACTTTTCTTTACGGTACATTGATACAGTACGCGACTGTAATCTTGAGACTTGCAAGGGATGCAGGAAGTCCGAAGCGTTAAAGGCAGACGCTATCTTTCCCCCTTGACCCCACTTCCTCACCCCGCAAGTCTCAAGATTACAGTCGCGGACTATAGCTCTGGCTGAAAGCATCAGATTTATCCTGTTTGTTTAAAGCATGAATTTTAAAGTCGATAACGGAAATATCCGCTTAGCAATATTAATTATACGTGTTTATATGAAGAGGCGTAATCGAAACTCGTTAGAAGACTAACAGGACGGTGGGTATGCTGGGATAGTCATGATGGTGGCGATGATGGTGATTAATGTACTGGTATGAATTAAGAACGCGGCCGTCCTTTGTTTTAGATCACTGCTATGACCGGAGAAACCGAGCGGTTATATCAGTCAAGAACTATGTATGATAAGTGCAAGACACGTCGTGTGTTATTTACAATTTTACCCTGTCACTCGGGAACCTAATGCTTCTGATTTTTTAACCGAATGTTGTGTTGTAATTACTCGCAGTTCTGTATCACGTTCGGGAGATCCTATGCTTGAAAACTGACTTGGAGACGTGCTATCCTGATTAAGCAGTAAAAGCAAGTACATTTTTTTTGATAATACTGCTTCTTTCCATTGAGATGTGAGAATGTTTGTCGCAATGGGAAGATTAGCCGAAACGCCAAGCTTATATTACAGAGATTTCTGCGTTAGTCAACGGAATGCCGTTGACTCAGCAGAACTTGTAACCTGGTGCCTGCAAGTCAGATGATGTAAGAGCTTGGATCTACATCAATGCACGCTTTTTAAATCAGTGCTAATCGTAACGGATTCTAGCCTTCGTCTATGAATTTAATTCGTCTTAGGGATTCTGTTGGTAGCACTGTATAAACCTAAATGCATGCTTCCTTCGTAGAGTAAGAGTAATGATCAGATATTGTACGAGACGCTTTCTGTCAGCAGGTAGGAAGCGGGAGACAACCGGAGACTTCCTCAGCATCGGCAGATGACTTTGGCGTGGTGACAGAAGAATGGTCTTTACTGCCACTGCGGCCTCTTGTTATCCCACACAATACCTAAGAAAGTTGTATGGGTGTGAATGGTTAGAAATGACGACCGACTGACAGTGAACAAAGACACTCACGTAAGTAGACATTACATGAAGAACGGGCGGACAGAAGTCATTTGTCTGCTGCTGCATTTGGCTTGGGTGGAGACGAAAACACGAAGGGAGTTAACGTTATAAGTATTGAGTCCTTGGTTACAGATGCTCACCACGTAGCGGGAAAACCAAGATACTTTTATAAACTTACACAACACAGGTCTGGAAAATTATTGTATTCGAATTCTGTGCCACAAGCAACGGCCATCTTGAACTTACTTCCCTGTAGACCTACGAGAAATGAATTATGTATAAACAATAACTTGCTTTAAATACGTAAAGTACAAGGTTCGCATATTCCAAGACACTTGATCATTATTACGCTACTTAGCAATATTATACATTATATTAAAATCTCAGTATTAACACTTTCGATATCCACGTTTTCACGTGTCCGCGGTTTTTATTTAATTGTTGTGAGGTGCATCAATATCATAAACGCAGCCGAGTTTTAAAGCCTGTTAAAATGCGTCGAACCTTCTCGAAGCTTACGTTAGAATGTGGTGCAGATGATAAGCTTAGCGTCAGATAATTCTGCCTTTTCGTTAAATGCAGCGATTCGCACGAACGCAAACTCCGTGTACAAATACAGTCGCCTGTAATTACCTGTTGGTATAGGCCAGCATGATTCAATGTTTGATAAACACAAAAGACCGCTGTCAGTGGACTGATCTCTTGTATGGCGAAGTGTTAACATGTGCCATACCATTCACAAACAACCAAATAAATTAATTTCCTGTTGGGATAAATGCTCCTCATTTTAGCTGCCTGTTCATCTGGAGGTGGTCCAGAGGATCCAGTCCCTAGGCAGAATTTAAGACTGTCCCTGCTCTGGATTAGACCGAGAAGCCACATCACTGAGAAGACAGCTGAAGAAGAAGATTTCCGTCTTCTGGGTTGTTGCGCTGTGTAGTCTGGTCGATGTTAACCAACGTTTCAGAGGTCAATCTGATTAACTGTAGATAAAAGGAGACTGAGCACTGTGAAGTAAAGAAAGGATTGCTGCTTGAATACCACACCATTACCCCATAAGGCAGTGGTATTCAACCTTTTTTGTTCGCGTACCCCCAGATATAATTTCTCTTCAACTTTGTACCCCCAAAATTGTTGGTGTATAATTCAAGTTATACGTAGTATATAATATACATCTAAAATACATTAAATAAATTACATTACTGATTATTCATTGTTTATCATAAAATAATATTTTTTTTAAATTTCAGGTACCCCCCTAAGATGTCTTCGCGTACCCCCGGGGGTACGCGTACCCCAGGTTGAAAACCACTGATCTAGACCACATCTGTACATATTGTTCGTCTAAGATGCATTTTTCTACTGACTTTCCACGCATGCGTCTTTCTTACTGTCTGTAGATCAAGGGATCTCGTATTTTTAATTTTGCCGACCAGATGGTGCAGTGTAAACTTCTTACTTTTTCTATGTGTGTGCTACATGTCCAACACATCATTATCACAATCTCCTCTTATTCTTGCTTCCGAAAACACTCAGTCCGTTTTTATTTCTATTTCTTATAGTGAGATCATTGTTTTCGAACGCTTAAAATTCTACAGATATCAAATAAATGAGTGGTTAAACGAATTTCTGCATGGCATAAAAATGTCAAGTTTTTACCATGTGTATGGGTAACCTTGTTAACAAATTTATTTTCAAAATTGTGTTGGACCACTAGTCTCATACGTTCTATATTTCTGTTTGCACACTCTCCCTAAAAATGTTTATCAATTTTGCTTTGTTTACATGAAAGTTGGAATTATTTTCATGGAAATTCATGTTTATAAGTTCGTGTCTGTAAACTAATTATGCACAGCGACATCACTGTGTATGACGAATGGGAAAATGTTCCTTCCGTGTGCGTTGTACAAATTTATTTTGTCCCAAGCAGCTGACAAATGACATTTTTATTTTATTACTGAGATGAACATTTGTGCATATCAGACAAAAACAGTAATGAAATTAATATGATCACAAAACTAACGGACTCAAGAGACTGTAATACATCATGAGACGTTGGTAAAATTAAGCAACTATAGAAATTACCCTCATTTTATGGAACCTGAAGATTCTTTGCCGTGTTCACAAAAGCCAGCAAAGAAAAGTTCGAATAGTATGCAAATAGTAGTAATAACAGCAAAGCAAATAATTCCAAAAGACCTTTACCACAGCAAAAGAAAGTTGCTTATTATCTGAAGCAACAGTTTGGTAGGTTATTTGTTATTAAACCACAAAAGGAGAGCGGCAAAGAAACTAAGATTGATATAAAAATAACGAAGATTGAAAAATATAAAGTTGCCTACATGCCTAAATCTACTCCATTAAGGAATCTAGGAGGGAATGGAGATAAATACCCACGTACTGGTAACCTCGACAGCTGACAAATATCGGCAGTCAGCTCCGACCTTTTTATCCCACCGTCCAGTTCCTGCGGGATTTTTGGCTTTGTGAGATCCATAGCTGGTTTCAACGTGGTATGTAAAAAAAATCATACTCTGCCAGGAATCGAACCATGATCTTCCAAGCCATAACAACACATTTTATTCAGTGCGCTAGAAACAATAACAGTGATGATAATTATAATGACAATAACAATAAGGGTCCCATTCGATAATTTGACAGCTCAAATTATAATAATAAGTTATCTATTTAATTCAAGATTAACTAAGCACCACACGTGCACATATATTTTCCCATTCCTATAATATAAGTTATACTGTTTGCATATACTCACGTATATTTTATGTAATCTTGTTGTAACAATTCACTTATTAAAAATGAATATTTGAATTCGTTCTTGTATCTTCCTCTGAACGCTTCCTAACCCACACACTTGTGCAGACATTTATCTACGATTGGAAAAAAAACCAGTCTGTGTTCATTGCACGCAGTGAATATGTGTACATGAGACGTGTTAATTATTTGACAGATCTCAACTGTTACCATACTCCATATCTGTAATTTTACACCTCTGTAAACACAAGTGATCAAATGGGTCAAGATGAGGGAAATAGATCTGCGAGTTGTTTATTTACAGGCAAGTTATGTACTCCGGTACCTGATTAAGGCATTGTTATATCAGTAATATCAACACGTACTGCTTATTAGGTAACTAGAACCCCGTTGCACCCACAAGTGTTAAATATGGATAGCAGCTGTTCATACTACCAACACTTTCCTCCTTATATGTCAACATATTGCGTTTATTTTTTTATCTCTCCCTCATTTGCAAAATGACTTAACGAGAAGTAAATTACAACGCAAATTCTGACCTAACTGTGGGTACATATCATAATCAAATGATAGCCTACATCATTATAATATCCAGCTGTATTGTCGGTATTTGTAACATGTATTAAATTCATGGGTTCATATAAAAAAAAAGAGATGAGAAGTTTGAAAAGAATAAAAGGAAAAGCTGAATGTGAAAATAATGGGTGATACAAGTCGTAAGGAACAGCAGCGCCGACACATAAGCGTAATTACGAGAGACAGAGTCATTATAACAGTTCTTGTATTGCTGTAATGACGCAATAATTTATGGTGGAACTTTCGCCTAGAGGTAATTTATAGGTTAAATGAACAGGACGCAGGGCCCACTGCTGTTGAACATGATTTAAGCCACATGACTTAGTATAAAGAGCTTTAGGCAGGTGTCAGTATAAATTTTAGGTCTCTTAGAGCTACTTCCATTAGTACTTTTCTTTACGGTACATTGATACAGTACGCGACTGTAATCTTGAGACTTGCAAGGAATGCAGGAAGTCCGAAGCGTTAAAGGCAGACGCTATCTTTCCCCCTTGACCCCACTTCCTCACCCCGCAAGTCTCAAGATTACAGTCGCGGACTATAGCTCTGGCTGAAAGCATCAGATTTATCCTGTTTGTTTAAAGCATGAATTTTAAAGTCGATAACGGAAATATCCGCTTAGCAATATTAATTATACGTGTTTATATGAAGAGGCGTAATCGAAACTCGTTAGAAGACTAACAGGACGGTGGGTATGCTGGGATAGTCATGATGGTGGCGATGATGGTGATTAATGTACTGGTATGAATTAAGAACGCGGCCGTCCTTTGTTTTAGATCACTGCTATGACCGGAGAAACCGAGCGGTTATATCAGTCAAGAACTATGTATGATAAGTGCAAGACACGTCGTGTGTTATTTACAATTTTACCCTGTCACTCGGGAACCTAATGCTTCTGATTTTTTAACCGAATGTTGTGTTGTAATTACTCGCAGTTCTGTATCACGTTCGGGAGATCCTATGCTTGAAAACTGACTTGGAGACGTGCTATCCTGATTAAGCAGTAAAAGCAAGTACATTTTTTTTGATAATACTGCTTCTTTCCATTGAGATGTGAGAATGTTTGTCGCAATGGGAAGATTAGCCGAAACGCCAAGCTTATATTACAGAGATTTCTGCGTTAGTCAACGGAATGCCGTTGACTCAGCAGAACTTGTAACCTGGTGCCTGCAAGTCAGATGATGTAAGAGCTTGGATCTACATCAATGCACGCTTTTTAAATCAGTGCTAATCGTAACGGATTCTAGCCTTCGTCTATGAATTTAATTCGTCTTAGGGATTCTGTTGGTAGCACTGTATAAACCTAAATGCATGCTTCCTTCGTAGAGTAAGAGTAATGATCAGATATTGTACGAGACGCTTTCTGTCAGCAGGTAGGAAGCGGGAGACAACCGGAGACTTCCTCAGCATCGGCAGATGACTTTGGCGTGGTGACAGAAGAATGGTCTTTACTGCCACTGCGGCCTCTTGTTATCCCACACAATACCTAAGAAAGTTGTATGGGTGTGAATGGTTAGAAATGACGACCGACTGACAGTGAACAAAGACACTCACGTAAGTAGACATTACATGAAGAACGGGCGGACAGAAGTCATTTGTCTGCTGCTGCATTTGGCTTGGGTGGAGACGAAAACACGAAGGGAGTTAACGTTATAAGTATTGAGTCCTTGGTTACAGATGCTCACCACGTAGCGGGAAAACCAAGATACTTTTATAAACTTACACAACACAGGTCTGGAAAATTATTGTATTCGAATTCTGTGCCACAAGCAACGGCCATCTTGAACTTACTTCCCTGTAGACCTACGAGAAATGAATTATGTATAAACAATAACTTGCTTTAAATACGTAAAGTACAAGGTTTGCATATTCCAAGACACTTGATCATTATTACGCTACTTAGAAATATTATACATTATATTAAAATCTCGGTATTAACACTTTCGATATCCACGTTTTCACGTGTCCGCGGTTTTTATTTAATTGTTGTGAGGTGCATCAATATCATAAACGCAGCCGAGTTTTAAAGCCTGTTAAAATGCGTCGAACCTTCTCGAAGCTTACGTTAGAATGTGGTGCAGATGATAAGCTTAGCGTCAGATAATTCTGCCTTTTCGTTAAATGCAGCGATTCGCACGAACGCAAACTCCGTGTACAAATACAGTCGCCTGTAATTACCTGTTGGTATAGGCCAGCATGATTCAATGTTTGATAAACACAAAAGACCGCTGTCAGTGGACTGATCTCTTGTATGGCGAAGTGTTAACATGTGCCATACCATTCACAAACAACCAAATAAATTAATTTCCTGTTGGGATAAATGCTCCTCATTTTAGCTGCCTGTTCATCTGGAGGTGGTCCAGAGGATCCAGTCCCTAGGCAGAATTTAAGACTGTCCCTGCTCTGGATTAGACCGAGAAGCCACATCACTGAGAAGACAGCTGAAGAAGAAGATTTCCGTCTTCTGGGTTGTTGCGCTGTGTAGTCTGGTCGATGTTAACCAACGTTTCAGAGGTCAATCTGATTAACTGTAGATAAAAGGAGACTGAGCACTGTGAAGTAAAGAAAGGATTGCTGCTTGAATACCACACCATTACCCCATAAGGCAGTGGTATTCAACCTTTTTTGTTCGCGTACCCCCAGATATAATTTCTCTTCAACTTTGTACCCCCAAAATTGTTGGTGTATAATTCAAGTTATACGTAGTATATAATATACATCTAAAATACATTAAATAAATTACATTACTGATTATTCATTGTTTATCATAAAATAATATTTTTTTTAAATTTCAGGTACCCCCCTAAGATGTCTTCGCGTACCCCCGGGGGTACGCGTACCCCAGGTTGAAAACCACTGATCTAGACCACATCTGTACATATTGTTCGTCTAAGATGCATTTTTCTACTGACTTTCCACGCATGCGTCTTTCTTACTGTCTGTAGATCAAGGGATCTCGTATTTTTAATTTTGCCGACCAGATGGTGCAGTGTAAACTTCTTACTTTTTCTATGTGTGTGCTACATGTCCAACACATCATTATCACAATCTCCTCTTATTCTTGCTTCCGAAAACACTCAGTCCGTTTTTATTTCTATTTCTTATAGTGAGATCATTGTTTTCGAACGCTTAAAATTCTACAGATATCAAATAAATGAGTGGTTAAACGAATTTCTGCATGGCATAAAAATGTCAAGTTTTTACCATGTGTATGGGTAACCTTGTTAACAAATTTATTTTCAAAATTGTGTTGGACCACTAGTCTCATACGTTCTATATTTCTGTTTGCACACTCTCCCTAAAAATGTTTATCAATTTTGCTTTGTTTACATGAAAGTTGGAATTATTTTCATGGAAATTCATGTTTATAAGTTCGTGTCTGTAAACTAATTATGCACAGCGACATCACTGTGTATGACGAATGGGAAAATGTTCCTTCCGTGTGCGTTGTACAAATTTATTTTGTCCCAAGCAGCTGACAAATGACATTTTTATTTTATTACTGAGATGAACATTTGTGCATATCAGACAAAAACAGTAATGAAATTAATATGATCACAAAACTAACGGACTCAAGAGACTGTAATACATCATGAGACGTTGGTAAAATTAAGCAACTATAGAAATTACCCTCATTTTATGGAACCTGAAGATTCTTTGCCGTGTTCACAAAAGCCAGCAAAGAAAAGTTCGAATAGTATGCAAATAGTAGTAATAACAGCAAAGCAAATAATTCCAAAAGACCTTTACCACAGCAAAAGAAAGTTGCTTATTATCTGAAGCAACAGTTTGGTAGGTTATTTGTTATTAAACCACAAAAGGAGAGCGGCAAAGAAACTAAGATTGATATAAAAATAACGAAGATTGAAAAATATAAAGTTGCCTACATGCCTAAATCTACTCCATTAAGGAATCTAGGAGGGAATGGAGATAAATACCCACGTACTGGTAACCTCGACAGCTGACAAATATCGGCAGTCAGCTCCGACCTTTTTATCCCACCGTCCAGTTCCTGCGGGATTTTTGGCTTTGTGAGATCCATAGCTGGTTTCAACGTGGTATGTAAAAAAAATCATACTCTGCCAGGAATCGAACCATGATCTTCCAAGCCATAACAACACATTTTATTCAGTGCGCTAGAAACAATAACAGTGATGATAATTATAATGACAATAACAATAAGGGTCCCATTCGATAATTTGACAGCTCAAATTATAATAATAAGTTATCTATTTAATTCAAGATTAACTAAGCACCACACGTGCACATATTTTAGGGAGTCAAGGTATATCTGCAAGCATTTTTAAACCCGGCCCCAGCGCGTTATTTGTCAATATATGTGTACATGTGTAGAAAAATGGCCCTCACAATGCATATCTTCTTTTGTTGTAGTTGAGGGGTGGATATGGGAGACGACCACCATGTAATAGAGGGTCACGAGGCCGCGCTCTCAGTTGTCCGTGTCACCGCTCCCACACGTCAGTGAGCATTCCTGTCGCCGCCCACAATAGAAAGGTCGATCAGTCGGTGTGAGGGCACGTGGTATGAGTGATAATCTGAGGAACAATGACTTTCATACTTGAGTGACTTACTGGAGACTGTTCATGTACTGTGGTCCATTACGGCTACAGACCTCTAACCGTCTTTTGTGTGAAGGTCAAATTATTCAACTGCTTTGTCAATTAAAACTTGTCAGGAATTAATTATTATAGTGTCTTTGACACTGAATAAAAATCTTGTAAATTTTTATCGTCTTCTTTTCGGAACTTCTATAAATGTTTTGGTTTCAAGTTTGTTGCGGAAATTTTTTCAATTTTTGCAGGCTCGTTTAACGTTATATCGATATTAGATAGCTGTAAAAAAGTATTGTTCTCAGCGTCTACGTTTAGACGACATTGTTGCGTTGTGCAAGAACTCTAAATGCGAATGTTATCTGTTTCAAATATGTCTTCAGCAATTTAAATCCTTCAAGTTATTTCCATCCTTACCTTTACTACCACGAAATTGTAAAAATGATATGAAAATGATTAAACAGAAAATATTATTTACTTACACCTGACTTGTCTTCAGACTAACAAGCTTTCTCCTTGTTTGAGAGTTGGACGGAGATGTCAAAATAAATAGTTTTGTGAAGTTTCACATGCGGTATATAGTTTCCACCATGATGGTGTGTGCAGAATTCTCTGGATGTCAGCGTCACCTTCATCCCACACGTTCGCATGCAGTGAGATAAAGGGCTCAGACAACCTGATAATTTATCGCCTCAAATAACTTATGTTACGTTAAGATAATATTTTGCTTATTAAGATAATGTTGTTCCAAGATTCGGTTTTTTGGCTTATTTGTGCTTATCTAACTTCGGCACGGTTTCTCAAAAATTTGTTACTGTAAATTTTCTGTTATCAAACCTAAGTAATCGATATCGGCAGAAATTAATTGCTGTAACCGATATCCTGTTATTTTAGACCGACTTATTCAACACTACTGACACATAAACTCGCCTTTAGACCATATATAGAACTACGCCACTATCAGCTCCTTAAAAGCTAGGTAAATATTTCTCAAACTCCACATACGTCTTCGGCCGTTAACCAATTTCCTGTAAGCATTTCTTCTTCATTCCAGCCATAAGCTATATTTATTATAACATCTTTAATTACTCGAATCCGTGAGAAGATTTTGTTTCAAATTTTGTATCAAAACGCATCCTACTTTAATCATCTGCATTTATAACACAAAAAGTTCCTCAAGATACAATTTAACTATACTTTAATCATCTGCATCCATAACATAAAAAGTTCCTCAAGATACAATTTAACTTAGATCTGTACTAATTTACTTCCGTTGTGCTGTTGCAAAATTGGCAGATTTCCAACTCTTTTCATCTTTTTAGAATACTTTTAAAGTGTGCATAAATAAACTTTTCGTAAATAGTTCAGGGGGACATCACAACAAGACTGTTTCATTTCCATTTGGACATTACTTTTCTCGAAGGAACACAAAAAGCTTGCCTGTTTTTAAATTAGTTTTCCACATTATGCTTTATAAAGGTATAGTTGTGAATGCAATAAAGAAACAAATGCATGCAAAGACTAACGAAATATTGACTCAAGCTATTTTAAAAAGACGAAATAATATCCATGAAAATTTCTACCGCAAATACATTCATTATTGAAACTGCACTTCTGCATTCCTTAGCTGCACATCACTTTAGTATTTGGTATTATAGTAAAAGAGAGACACCATACATTGGCAATTCTCTTGTTTACACACAAACGGCAGTAACGCAAAGTTCATATAACTTAAACTAAGGTAGGGCAGGCGAATGACACGCACTTATATCGTTTTTATGTGAGCACTGCATGCTCTAGGAGAAGTTCATCCTCACACATTGCATTCAGTTTGTGCCACGTTAATTTGTTTGACATGTCCACAGAGAACATGTTTTCATGCATGCATGGTGCTTTATATTTTATTTATTTAGTGTTCTGTCTGACGACAGGTCCATATGAACAGGATCCTTCCATCCTTTTCTCGGACTGGGACCTGTTCATATACGTTCTTGGCAGATGATCCAGAAGTGGTTTGCCGTTGCCTTCTTCTGTGTGTGAATGGAGTAATTGTTGGGATGCCACGGAGAAACCGGGGAAGCCCCCGAAGGAAAACTCCGTGTTGCCTAGACCACGGCCTTGCCCAATACAAGTTATAAATTCGGGCACCGCCAGGAATCGAAACCGAGACCCCAGGATTAAAAGGCCAGCGTAATCATAGGGTATCATATGTAGACGAGTTAAACCCAACAATTTTAAAGAATGGATTTGAAATGTTTTTTAAAATTAGTTAAGCCTAAAACTCGGTTTAGAAATGTATACGTTATACTGTCTAAACACTAGCCACGTGAGAACACGTGTTTCTTACAGAGAACATAATTCCACACATTTTAATTCTTAAATGAAGGTTTTTTTGCGGAGTTTGTTTCCATGACTTATCCCCTTTCTGAGCGCACGGTTCACTTGTTACGCTTGCTGTGTGCATTATCCCTTAACCTAGTCATTAGATTCACTTCATCATTATTTCCCGCTTTGAGGACGTCGCCTCGTGTTCTTGTACCGCCCCTGATCCTAAGGCAATCATTACGTGATATATCACAATCAAAGTGGCATTTTCTAGTTGCTGTTTCACGCAGCACATGTGTTCTCGCTTTTGCTCTATTCTAGTGTTCGCACAGTGCAGAATGTTCTGCACTGTGACGCACGACTCTTATTGTTTAATGATTACATGACTAGACTCGAGCTTAAAATTTTTGGCGTAATAAATTAGGATATAACATGCAAAACCATATGGAAACAAATGTCTTCACTGTAATTTTGTGAATATTTTATTACATATTTTGTCAAAATAGAATAGTTATAGTCGAGATTGCAATGTGACATTCTTTAATACAAAAAAGTAAAGTAACAAATGTGTTTTCATATTACATTTACAATCGTTGCATCACTTTACATATGTCAAATTCTATCATTACCTTCAGACAGGACTATAATAAAGTATATAATACTTCTTGCCATATAACATAAATATAATTCAGCAGGTTTAATTCTAATTAAAACATAATTATCATTTCTATTTTTCTCTCACAAAACATTTTTTCTGAGCATAGGCGTACATTTTTGCAAACTTATCTACTTAAATATATTTAAATTGTGTGCCCTACGTTATGTCGGTTTTGTCGGATGCGCACTTATGTAAATAATATTTAGAATGAATCATAGATAAAAAGGGTATTCAGTATAATATATAGGTTTGCACATAATGCAGTTCTGTTAATCTGATTTAGCAGTAAGTTTTCCTGCAATTCTTAAAAATCCACAAAAAACTCATGGTTGAGAAAACAAGCGTGACTATATGTTTTGCTTCAAATTGAGACTTTGTGGTGTGTCTTGTTGTACAGCTCAACATTCATTTCATGTTTCGTGTTAAATGAAGATATACGTTTCGGTAAGGTTGACAGACATTGAAATATGAATTGTCAGTTCAGACAACCTTCGTGCTTCATCCTTCTGTTCTCAAAATTTATGGTTATATCTGGCAACATTTTTTGAGTTAGAATTATGTCTCGAGTCCAGGCACAGTACCTCGCGTTCGCGTTCAGGACCCATATCCTGCGAGGTATCTAATTCCCTTTGTACTTAACACGATTACGTCTTAACATAATTGCTCTGTCTAAAATAATGCAGGATATTTTAAAAAGTGCTTCTTCCATTATTTTCATATGCATCAGACTGCATCGTGTAATACGAAATATGTGTTTACAGTGGTCTTTTGGGTTGTGATGCCATCCAGTCTTGTAGGTGGTTACCAACATTTCGGTGGAGCTTATGTGTGTACCAATCTTCGTACTCACCTCCGTGAGAATCTAAAAATCCTACGATTATTCAATAGATATTTTTTTACTGTCAAGTAGAGGTAGCGCGAGTAGTGGTGGCACCTAAATGCGCGATGTGTAAGCCGAGAGAGGGGAGTTCAGTAGTAGTGGGGTCCCACAGCCTCAGCTGCGGTGACTCACCGAACTAAACACAGCTAGAGCTACAAACCAACTGAAGCTGACACCCCTCTAGCGCGTGCTTCGGACGGGTCCAACTCATACGACCAAAATCAGTCCTTTCTCGCACGACCTCTAATGACGAGTAAGACTACAGAGCATGTCTCCTTGGGGCGAGACACTGTAGGAGAACAACCATGACGTCAGCACTGTGAAGTCTGTGCACTGGAGAAAAAACTTCACGGGTCAGCACGCAGAGCGATAATTCACTGTTTCGCTACGCCTTTCGATATGGGGAGGGATATCTAAATCAGTGGGGAATGAAAGAAATTTATGTAATGTACAGTGTAGTTAAACTATAGATCGTGCGAATGTCGTGCTGATACAAAATCCTTTGCAAAATGGTGTTGTGACATTGGAATATTATCGTCTTGGTCCTTAACTAGTGCACTGTGTAGTACAAAGCTCCATAAACGTATTCTGTAAAATGGAAAAAAAAAAATGTTTTAGCATATTGTGAGAAATCTAAAATTGAATAGTTCTGATTTGGAGAAAAATTCAATTCGACAGAAATATTGAATTTAATGCTGATTATAATAATCGATTAATACGTTTGATTGTTTACTAATATGATTTTAGTATCTTAAGCGTTATAGAATGCATTTCAAATATTAAATATAAATGTGAATGAATGAGAATGTCATCATATGGTTGTATCAACCGCGATGTTCGGTTCATACATTCGGAATATGCTGCGAAGTTCCGTGGAACTACTCTCGTTTATTTTAAATATCAAGTGATATCTAATACTGTGAAGTCCACTTTCTGCTGGATTAACTAGACAGCATAAAATAGAGAGAAATGGCGAGGATATCAGTGTGTCCAATTGGACGCCAAGGGAAATTCATTGCCTTTATGAGTGAAGGAGTTTGATCACAAAAGCAGTAACTTCTCCATATGCATAATAATCTATATTTTCTGTCGATAGCCTTTCCATAAACGTCAAACTTGACATATAAAAATATCATCCGTAGATTTCACTTATTGCTTGTCATCAGTCATCATTCATCACCGCCCGTGACACTTGCCGTGTGCCGCCATTTGCATTATGTGCATGCAGCTAGCAGCGTCGTTCATAGGCCAATAACCGACAGAACCTCTCTTACACTGCCTAATATCAGATTTTTGCAGCTGTCAGTTTTACCACCTTGGTTACCTTTAACTCCTCTATATTGTGCATCGTGACGTAGCAGTGTCTTTCCGTCCAATTGTATGTATTAATTATCTGTGAGTTCGTAGTCCGCAATTTTTTTCATTACGTGTTAGGCTCAAGAATTATGATTTCATGAGCAATGTTTATTAATTATGTTTATTTTCCTTGATATTCGCACTGTAGTGTAAAAATCCTGTCCGTAATTTTAAACGCTCACAAATATGTAGCAACTGAAAATCGAACACATCTTCATATTTTATATTTTA